TGCAGGAGGTTAAATAGTGTTGTCCCCTCCATCTCACATGTCCACAGAGATAAAGCAAGAGTACCAAAGTCAGGCAAGGGGCAGATCTCATCCCAGAGCTGGATGCTTTCTCAGCAGCATCATTCAACGCGGCTTTTGTGGCCCTGTTCTCAACATTCCCCTCTTCCGGTTTTCCAGCCTCTGAGCAACCAAAGCCTGGTTCCGACAGCTCTCCTGCCTGGAACAGACAGGGCAGCCCTTACCTGTCTCCGCAGCTCCGAGGATGTCCAGTTTGTCACGGATGGCTGGGGCCAAGGTCAGAGCTTGGATTGGGGTGGGTGCAGAGAAGCCCAGGAAGCTTAGTGCTCGGAGAACGGCCTTGGGCACAAACAGGTCCCTCCAGGCTGACACATCTGCCTTCTGGTCCTGCACTTCAGGCATCCACGTCTTCGCTTTTTTGGGCACTTTAGAGGCAGTGCTCTGGGAAGGGTCTAATTTTTTTTTTCCTTTGCTTTTCTTCTTTTTTGGAACAGCCTGTGCCAGGCTTTTCGATGCTGTTCCTCCTGCCTTTCGATCAGAACAATCAGTGACATATGCCCGAGTCTCTGGCTCAGAATCTTTGACTTCATTCTGGGCTGTGCTTCCTTCAGCAGCCACTGCCTGATCCTTCTGTTTCTTCAATTTGATCTTTTTCTTTGGGGAGCTAGGCTCTCCCTCCTCCTCCGCATCCCCCTCCTCCTCTTCTTCTGAAACAGCTTGGGCCTTTCTCTTCTTTGGCTCCTCACTTGAGAAGAAGCCAGAGGGATTCTTGGCAGGAGAGACTAAACGGTAATCTGTGAGCTCCTCAAAGCACACCAAGTCATCCATCTGTCCATCTGCAAACAGATTTGGATCGATCTTCACCTGCTTCCATTCCCCTACAACTCTGATGCCCTTTGTCTGAAACATGCCACGGCTCGACGGCTTTGGCCTTGATTTTGTCTCCTTTAACTTCATGGTTGCTGAAAAGAGACACTCTTTTACATTAGTGACTGTGAAACAAAGGCACTATGGCAGCACACACGTCCCGATGAACCTAAAATGCATTTGACCCTGTAAATGACAGAGAACCTGAAGATGGGTTAACACACAGAGAAGATGCTCCCGGCCAGAAAATGAAACACACCCGCTGTATAGGAAGTTCGCCTTGGAGCAGAGGAGACAGTCAATGTAGAGTAGATAAGCATGAGCTAACACACTGTCAGGATCCCAGCTCCAACACTTAACGCAACTTCAACAGTACTAACCACACCTCTCAGAATTTAGTGTTTTGATCCTCTAAAAAGAGGAGGGCATGGAAATATCTACTTTTACGCTGTACATAGATAACTGAAACAGAGGTGACAGAAAGGATGACTGGCCGACATCAGCCATTTTTGGGATGGAGTAAGAACCTGAGAGGTTTTTCAGTTGTGTTTAAGGGAAGGAGTGTGCTTTATTACAATTGCACTGAGCTCTTTTCCCTATGAGAAAAGGCCATGCCATTTCCATCCCCATGCAGCTTTCTAATTACATTTTAAGTGATCTAGAGCTGGCAGGAGATGCAGCTCAGTGTGTTGGCCTAGCATGAATGAAGTCCTGGGTTCCACCCACAGCACTGCGGCATAAAACCGTGCTTAGCCGGTAACCAGCATTCGGGAAAAGGAGACAGGATGATCAGGAGTTCAACGCCAGCCTGGGCTACTTGAGGCCCCATCATTGGAAGGGGTTGGCTTACGTGGGACTTATTTGAAAGGAAGTGGCTCCACAATGGCCCCTTTAAAAAGAAGAAGGAACAGACATTGTGGAAAGCAGAAGGTGAAACTCAGTTAATACCTAGATCCAACAATTGCCACCTCTGAGTCTTTGGTGAACAACTCTGTGGCTCGGTTTCCTCGACTACAATTTAAGGATAATGAGATTATTTATCTATCGCACTGGGTCGTCATTTGAACACTACATAGTGACGCATGTCAAAACCCACTCAGCATGGCGCTGTGTAGAGAGAGGCACGTTGACTCGCAGGCAAGGGTCACCCAGCTGTCCCTGGCAACGACTACACCAGACCCCACAGCACCTCGGCCCCACCTTGACGAACCGAAGGGAATGTCACTAAAAATGGGATGTGGGAGACTCCCTGCACCGCTTGGAAGAGTCCCACGGACACAACGATCGCACGAGCCCTTCCAGGGAGGTTACTGGGCCTTGATGCCTGGTTACTGGCGCTCAGTCGAGGGGAACCCAGGAACCAGGGGCGTGGGGCCACCGGGTCCCGCTATGCTGCGGGGGCACCGGGAGCGCGTCCGCAAAAGGCCACGCAATCGTTCCGCACCGCACCGCACTCACCCAGAGCACTCACCACCAGCGATCTCTCACACGCCGGGACGCCTGCCGTACCCTGACCCGGAACTGCAGCAGCATCTGCATCTGCAGTTCCGGGGCGGGACTTCAGGCACGCATACACGCCACAGGAGGAAGTACCGCCTCCATACGGAACTAGCTGTCTGATTGGCACTGTACTAGAACGTGGGCGGGAGCCATAAGGGCTGGGCTGTGGTACCCAGCGTTTCTTCTTGTTTATCACTTAGGCAGCTTCTTGGAGCTCCTTCCTGGACACTAGGGAGCGCAAGTGTTCGCGTAATCTCTATCTAGTTTGGGTGCAGGAGAAGTTGCAAGTTATTAAGTACCTACTGTTAGCCTTGATGCATTTTTCTTGCCTGATCCACAACATAACTAAGCCTGTACTCAAAGTGCTGTGTTCGCCAGTCCCGTAGTGCCTCACTTCAGCACAGGGCTGCTCAAGATACAGCTGCCAGGCTCGAAGGCAAGTTTTAGACCCTGATACAATAGACTTTAACATTAATGAAAAATAATTAAAAAGCGTTGCTAAGGTTATGACAGTGCCCAGCCCTCTACAAACCATGATTTATTTTCCTTTACGTCTGAGTGCTGAGAGTTTCTCACTGGAGAAGGTTGAAGTCCTCAGCCTCAAAACTAAAGCAGAGAAACAGTCCCCACAATGTACACTGTGACATTTTCCAAAAGCTATGGAATCTGCAAAGGACAGCATCCTAAAAGTCTGTCCTCCAACAGTTCTTACAGGTATTAGATCTCATACCCAGGACAAAAGGCTGTTTTACCAAAGCAGACCTGGCAGCCAGGCTCTCCCAGGCTCTCTCAGCTGCTACCCATTAATGGCTATGGACTAGCATACCCTACCCTCTACCTGGAATTCTCCAGCCCAGGGGCTGGGCTGCCCTTCCCCCAGTGGCTCTTCCCTGTATAATCCAGACATTTTGGTTACCCACCATTTCATACCTTTGACCTCCTGGCTGTGATACCTGGACCCCCCCATTCTTCCCCCCACCTCCATCCCCACCCCCATCCTCTTCCTACAGGGACCAGCTCAGTCTGCTCATGTCCACTCTGGACTCTTCCAGATATCCATACCTCTGACTATGTTCACACCCATGTCTGTAACAAACTTCTCTTCCAGCATGCCTAGAAGCAGTCATGTCCTTTGTTGTTCCCACCAAGAGACCCCCAAAGCTTTGAGGAGCCAGACGCCCAAATACAAACACAAGAAGGTGTTTGTTTACAAAAAAAACCAGCTAGCTGGGGCTTCACTCTGTTGGAGAACGTAAGGTGTTTTTAAAGAGCAAAGAACAGGAAGGGGGTTGTGAGACCCCCTGATCTCACAAAGTTTCCGTGGTTACAGGGATTTCTTAGTGCACAAAGTTACAAAGTTTCCACAGAATATAATTGCAAGACAAAGGGTATTTAGCAAAGGAGCCTTAACTGTCCTCTGCTCAGGTGGGATTGATTAACACATCCTGGGGTCTGGGAGAGGTTATCTAGTTCCCTGTTCCTTTAAGGACATCCTTAGGGTCTGGGGGATTTACCACCTGCAGGTCTAGAAGCTACTTGGCTCCCTGTTTTCCAAAAGACAATGAGGTGGGGAGTGATGTTTACACAGTTGGTGATGAGCTCAGGCCCCCCTCTTTTTGTGGGAACTGCTCATGACTTCCTGTCGCATAGCCTAGAGTCCCTTCCTTAGTTGGGATCTTTTTATTTTTCTCATTACACCTTTCCTTTCCTTTTTAAGTTTTATGTTTTCCATTTACCCACCACTTTAATATTTTGTATTAGTAAAACACATGTATTACCATGCATCCCTGTCTTCAACATAGCACTAGGGAGGAAAAGACAGGTAGATCTCTGATTCAAAGCCAACCTAGTGAGTTGGTGGACAGCCAATATTACACAAAGAAACCCAGCCTCAAACAAACCAAAACAACAGGACACATTTGTGTTCTATATATAAAAGGCTAACTATGTATGTTTTACTATTAGCTTGACATGTGCACACGGATAGTGGCTTATTCGTCTTATTTTAACCTCTCCCAGCCCCCATGCCCCTCAAGGAGCACAAAGTTGATACCACTAGACACTGGGGAACTTGCATTTAAAGTTTGAGCCCAAACATCCATGGAATGTGGAGCAAGAATGTAAGATATAATAAGAAGAAAGACCCAAACATTGGACATCACGATTCTCAGACTGTGGCTGGCCATCTGCTCAGAGGAGCAAAATAGATCTCCAAAAATAATTACTTTGTGTCACTACACCTGTGCTACACAGACTCCTTCCACTTCCCACACCCCTGTAAAGCTACCCTGTGAAGAGGATAGAAAATGTGAAATGTAAAACACAGGTGTGTGTGTAAGAGAGAGGAGGGGGGGGGGCTGGGGAAGGAACAGCGGGGAGGAGAGGAAGAGGAGGGAGGGATGGAGGGGGAGAGGGGAGAGGGGAGGGGAGGGCACAGCGGGGAAGAGAGGGAGAGGAGAGTCACTCAGAGGATATGTAAATGAGTGTGTGTGTGGGGGGGGGACCAGAGAAGCTTCTTCCACCATTGCTTTCGAACATCCACCAGGAGGCTGACTGCTGACTCATTGCAAGGGGTGGGCCATACCCCTATTGGTTCACCATCTGCTTCCCAAGGCAGATGTAAGTCACTTCCTAAGGTTACCAGCTACAAAGACATCTCACCATGCTGGGTTAGTAACCCTCACCCTCAGTGGGCTGGGAACTGGGCTCTATGACACAAGCCTGGCAAGAACTGACTGACATCAGCTGACTCTAATCTTTTCTACCCACCCCTCTCTCCCTCTCTCCCCAGGAGAACTGGTCAGTGCTGCAGTAGGAGGAGGTAGGTTTCTTGTACCTGCTTTGGGGCGGGGGGGGGGGCTGTGGGAGGTTTGTGCTTTGCTGTGGGCTCAACCCCAGCTCTTGCCATCCACTTTACTCTGGAGCTGCCTGGGTGAAGATGAGGGCCAGAGTGGGTCTTCCCACCTGAGCCCACACCACACAACTTCTCTCCCCACAGCTCTGGTTGTGGTTGCGGCTCCCATAGCCCTGGGTGCTGTGGGCTTCACTGCTGCAGGTATTGCAGCAGGATCCACAGCAGCCAAGATGATGTCAGCAGCAGCACTCGCCAATGGGGGTGGAGTTGCAGCAGGAAGCCTGGTAGCCACACTGCAGTCAGTGGGTAAGTGTCAGTCCAGGCAAGATGACTGGAGACCAAGCTACACAAGGCTCCCTCCCTTCCTCTCCCTACAGTCTCACCTTTCATAGGACCCGGGTCTTCTGGTTCTATGGCTACTCTCTGGGTCAGTGTGAGAGAGGCTGGGGTGTGCAGGCAGGCAGAAGGGGTGCTGGATGGTGGAAGCAGGAAGGAGCCCTGCTCCAAGGTGCAGGCTGCCTGGGCTCTGAATCTTCCCTACCTGTGTGTCCTCCTGCAGTGTGTCCCCCTCTGTCCTGCTATGTAGAGGGGACATTGCTCTCTGGACAGCTCCCCCTCCTGTATCTCAGTATACCCAAATCTGTCTTCTCCTTCTGGTGCACTTTGAGTATCTCTGTCTAATGCAGAGCCCTAGGATTCAGACAAAAATGTAGCTGGGCATCTCTAAGCCTCAGGCCACTGAGTGTCACTGCACTGTCTCCTTCCCAGGGGCTGCTGGACTCTCTACATCATCCAACGTCATCCTGGGGTCTATTGGGGCAGCTGCTGGAGCCTTGCTTTGAACTTGGGAGATGACACCTCAAACAGGGAAACCCAAAGACCATAAGTACTACCCACGAGACCCTGTACCCCAAGATGATCCTCCAAATTCCTCACTGAAATCAGAGAAAGATGAGAAATAAAGGTTATATGTTAGGAAACCTATCTTTGCTTGTGGTGACTCTTTGAAGGGACTTGTGGACTAGGAGTTTCAAGTCTTCAGGTTTCCTAAGAGACTCGGGCAGGAGGTCAAAGGGAGGTGAGAGGTTGGACACAACAGTCTGTAGGAATGAGGCTTAAGGTGGTCCCTGCCTTAATGGACATGGTCTCTGAGACTTGGTGGCTTGGGGGGGCTTATGTAAATTATTTGTTCCTGATTAAAGTTGGGCTAACAGAGGTTCCTGACCTGGGTCAAAGGTGAGAGGGCCAAAAAATTGACCCCAGAGAGAGCTCTTGGTCCTTCTTTGTTCATGGTTCTGGATGTGCAGGGCTTTGACCAGAGTAGCACAGAGCTAACTCACTGTACCAGGGATGCATTGGACTAAACTACTGCCCTGATGCCTGGGGAGGAGATAGAATCAAACATGGTCACCAACTTACAATGTCTATAAACTTGCAAAGGAGGCTGAAATTCCTGCCTCATGTCCTGGGACCCTGACCACACTCATATACAAGATGTGTGATCATCGCCCTTGTGATGCAAAGTGCTGTGCTGCATAGACTCCACAAAGACATAGAAAAGGGCTTTGAGGCAGGAGGACTCTGGCATTAATGAAACAATTTTGTCACAGAACACTATTCACTGTGGTGACAGGTACCAGGATCTGATCTTACAAGAATACATGAAAAGATCAAGGAATATGGGGCATGGAAGGCATGGAGAAGTCTATCAGGGATCACACAGAGAGAGATAAGTGTGTGGGCATCTCTTGGGTCAGGTCTGATAGTTGGGAACCAGCAATCTGCTGACCCCGCCCCCTGATGATGGGCAGGATGCTCATGGCCATGTCTTCTACATCATGAATTGCCTGGCTGTTCAAGCTTTATCTGGCTGCCAGGGGACTCAATTACACATGCCCAAGTTTCCGTTTTAAAGCAAGTTCACCAAGAATGCCTCTCTCTCTCTCTCTCTCTCTCTCTCTCTCTCTCTCTCTCTTTCTTCCCTGCTTTCGGTGGCCACCAGCTACCGCCCTTAGTCTCCCCTCTCTCAATAAACTCCACGTGGTCGCTGAGTCACATGTCTGTGTTTCATAGGCAATAATTATAGCAAAAGAACAACACTGATGACTTGGACTGCATCAGCCACTTCCAGGCTCTGTTGGGTTGTTGTCTGGCAGCAGCCTGGCTGGATTGATGCTCAGGTTTTAGAAACAGGCATGGGGCTGTTCCAGGAGAAGTGCATGATAATGCATCATTCAGGCATTGTCTACTCACCTCTCTGGCGTCCCCCCTCAAAAGGGCCTCAACAGGGTATGTGGTGGTCTGAACAGTTCCCGCCCAAAGTCAATGTGTCAGCTTCTTTTGTTAGCATAGCTGTGGTGCCCTATGGACAGAAACAGGACTGAGTCTGACGGACAGATAGGCCACTGGCCTCTTGCAGGGTTCCAATACCTGAGCATAGACGCCTCCCCACTTTGAAATCGTTGACATAGACCTGGATGCCCTTGTGCCTTTCCTGGTGTCCCTGACTTCCCCTTGGGATCTCTTCTGTATGTCTCCCTGAGCACTGCAGCTACTGCTCAGGGCAATCTTTTGTTTTGCATTTTCCCCTGCACAATCATAGTTTCTGTTAACCGTTTGATCAATCTCCAGTAAGTGCCACCCATTCATACCCTCAAACCCTTCTAACATCAGGAGTTTCTTTCTACCACCTGGGCCTGACTGCATGACAAAACCCACATGGTTGCTGGCTGCTTTTCTGGTCCCTCTGGGTCTATGGGAGTGAAGCATGAGGTAGGCTCACACAAGCCCTTTGGGAAACCAGTAGGTGATTCCTGGGACTCTTATATTGCCTCCATCGCCTTAGACAGCTTGGAAATGTCTCTAACAGCTGCCTTCAATACATGACAAATGACCTGGCAAAACCTCTTCAAAGCCTCCTTATCTTGGGCAGTGTTGGAGTCCCAGTCAGGTCAGGCTGAGAGAAAACCCACTCTGACTGGACTACACTGTCTGGCAGTGATCCTCTGTCAGGCCCTGTCAGGCCCACTCCCATGACCCAGTCTGTCCCTGCCTTTAATGAAGAAGATGGTGTCCAGGAGCTGTTGACATTCATCCTGGGTCACTGGTAGGTATAAATAACTGTCTCTAGAAGACTAACAAGGGCCTGAAGTTGTTCAGAGAATAGTGGTTTTGAATCTTCTGATTATATACATCACTGCCTGGAAAGGCGATATGAATCAGGAATGGAGACAGGGGCAACCTTTGGTCTTGGACACTGGGAAGGGGATAACTCCCTTAGAGGGAGGATGAGGACTGCCTCTGGGAAATTCCTCCTTGAGCCTCCATAACTATGGCCACTCTGGTTGTGTGGAAGGAAGGGGGGACCCAAGGTAAAAGACAGGTGGAGGTTTGAACACCACCAGGTAAGCTGGTCAGGGACCCTCCCCCCCCCACCTCCCCTGCTAATACCCAGAAGGAAGGTAAAGCAGAGGCTGAGAACCTGGGCTGTGTCTTCCCTCCCTCTGTCCTCCTGCCATGACACTTACCCACTGACTGCAGAGTGGCCACCAAGCCACCAGCTGCAACTCCGCCCCCATTAGCAATAGCTGACAGGGACATCATCTTAGCTGCTAGAGATGAGGCAGCAATCCCTGTCCCAGTGAAGCCCACAGCACTCAGCACTGGGGGCACAGCAGCTACAGTCATGGCTGTGGGAAGAGGAGCTGAGTCAGGTGGCTTTGTGGAAAGGGACCCCACAATACTGGGTCTACCCTGGGGGGACCTGCTGGGGTCTGCAGAAGGAGAGAATGAGCAGGAAGACAGGGTTAGGTCTTTCCCTGTTGCAGACTATCCCCATTCTGGAGCTTTCCATGGGCACTCAACCCGTGAGCCAGTTATCATGGTACTAGAGATTGTCCCTCCAGCTTTGGCCATGGCTGCCGAAGCTGTTACCCTTGGGACAAGGAAAGCCATGGAGATGTTCCAAATAGGACCCACACCTGGAAAAGAAGTGGCTCTTTGATGATGAGGTTGGGGATCCAGAGCTGGAGTTTTATCAACCAATGTGAAAAACCTGAGGATCCAGAGTAGATAGAGCACCCCGTCAGAGTTGGTGGTAACAGTGGGCCTGTCTCAGCCTTGGGGTGAAAGATCCTTCACCTGTTAAACAGATGGGGAATCAGGAACCATTTCAGACTGCAAGTGATTTGCTCCATGGCTGAGGGCTCCATAGCACAGACATTAGGCACAAACCAGCGAGGTCCAGCTGCATACAAATGGCATGCTCTGACTACACTACTCTTAACACTTGCAACTTACTTTTCCTAATCTCTAGGCTACAAGGGCAGTCAGGACTTTGGGTACCTTCCTTCTAGGTACATAACTTTGAAGATAAGTGCCTTCATGAGAACAAAAGGAGGGTCAACAGCCACTGTACATGGCCTCCTCTGCATTCTGTTTATTTGTTCTTTTGTTTGTTTGTTTTTTTACAAGACTCAAAACACCTTTAATGTAACAAAAACAAAACACTTATAAAAATCTTGAACACATTTTAAAACATCAACTTTAGACAAAGTACACTGCTTTTAATAACACAACAAAGACAAAAAATACACCAACACTATCCAATGGCCTGACCCTACAAAATTGATGTCTGGATTCCGGTATGATGTTTTAAGACTTCATGTATTCACAAAAATGTGCCAAGTTATGGGTCTCTATGTCTTGCTCCTCTATAACTGAATGCTAACTTGTTCTCTCTGTCCATCTCCACAACATTTTCTAACTTCAGGTGACCCATGGGTCAGCTGTGGCCTGTCAGTTAAGCATGCAAGATAAAATAAACCTGTATCTAGCACTGAACAGAAATGTTTACTTTCAGGGCACACGGGTACAACCCATTGATTAGGGAGTTCACTGAGAGAAAGTGCTCCTGCTGGTGACAATTGATCTGGATTTATTACAACTGTGTTTCTTATCATTCACTTAAACAATGGTATGTGACCTTCAGATGTAATGCCTGAAAGATTGTACGGGTCTTTATAATCTGTGAAGAACAAAGAGAGCTAGCAGAATTCAACAAGAGAAAATAAAGAGTGAAATCATCAGGAAAGTGTGTGCTTTTTCCTTTTTCCCTAACAACCTGGACAGAAAAAAAAAATCTTAGTGTGACAACACTATGAACTCTGTTCCCTGCCCACTGCCCAGAAGCTGATTCTTCATGGGCTGTGTTACAAACCCATCTTGCCCATCTGTAGAGTTAAGCCTTTCCTGATAGAGGTCAGGGGACTTGCTGGGGCACCAGGACTCAATGGCAGTTATGACCTTGCATTGCTTTCTTGAGCTGCCCCTTAGAGCATGTTCTTTGATGAGGGGATGGGAGTCAGGGTTGTCTCCTGTTGTTATGGGAATGTGGCCTAATTGGTGGCTGGTGTCACTCTTGATGAACAATATCAGAAACTGTCTCAGACACCCTAAACACCAATTATGGTATAACTTTTCTTTTTTTACCATCTAAAACAGACCTAGTTGTATACCACACACCTTCTTCTAGTCATGTTGGACTCCTTTAGTTAAATTCCACTTAACATTTCCTAAACAAGATTACTAGGTAATCTTCATAGTGTCATTTTTGCTACTTCAAATTTCTACCACATCACTATCATGGCTGGGAGAAAAGAAAGAAAGAAGACAAAAACATAAACAAAACAAAAATAGACCTGCCAAAGAAATAATATGTTACAAAACACTGCAAACACAGACGTCCTCAGTGACATAATAGTAGGACATTCATTCCAACCTAAAAGATCTGGAGAGAGAAAGGAAATTGAAACCTATCTCATTAGCTGCCTTCCATCACAGCTTCTTCAGCCACAGTGGAATTTTCCAGACTGCACAGAGCAGGGAAAAGGAAACTGATCTCATTGGCTACCCTGGATATTTGGGTGTGTCTTCCACCAAAGTGGATTTTTCAGACTGGAAAGAGCAGGGAAATCGAAACCTAATCCATTGGCTACCTTGGATCACATGGTGTGTTTTCAACCACACTTTTTTTTTTTTTTTTTTTTTTTTTTTTTTTTGCGTGAAGAGAGCCAGAGAAAACGAAACTTATTTAATTGGCTGCCTTGAAACTCTAGGTATATCATCAAACAACATTGGATTTTCCACTTTGAAAGGAACTAAATTTTCCAGAAACGCATCGAGGATCCAGTGGAACGGTGGGTGGGAGGGGATGATTGAGGTTGATGGTGGTTGTCATTTGGGCATACTCAGGAAATCTGTAGTGGGTAAGGCCAGAGGCCACACAGCTCTTTCCTGAAACCCATAGCCTTGGTGGCATGGGCCTTAAAGTCTGAAAGGAGGCCAGTGTACAGTCCCTCTCACATACTCCTTTTGTTGTCACGGAGCCACCACAAGCTCCCAAGAAAATAACTTGTAGTGCCTGAAATGGTACCTGTTCCCCCATCTGCTTAACTGTTGCAGGATATTGCACCCGAAAACTTGCACCAAGCCCACCTTTAACCACAAATTCTGGCCAGGAGCTCTATCCACCCAGGAGCCTTAGGAGTTTTAGGTTGGTTGATGGAAATCCAGCCCTGGGGCCCCAAACTCCTCAACAAAACTCCACTTCTTTTCACAGGTTTCAGTAATATTTGGAATCTCTGCTGAGCTCCATGGCGTTGTCTGGAACAGGCACACTGGTGGTTTCCCTTGTCTCTAAGATCACAGCTTCAGCAGCCATGGTCAAAGCTGGAGGGGCAGTCTCTGGCACAATTCTAGCTGGTTCACAGGGTGAGTGACAAAGAAAGAGTCAAGAATGGGGAGTGAGGAGATAGTGATGGAGAGGGCAACATTCTGACTTTAAAACTGCCTAGTGTCATACTTCCATGGTCCCCTCATCTCTGAAAAGCTTGAGGGAGGTAAGACCCCGGTGTGGTCGTGGGCTTTGAGTCTCTAAAACCACAGACCTACATGCTTCATAAGGCCCTCCTCTGAGACCTCAGTTCCTGGGCTCTTCACCTGGGTGATATATTCTTGGTGATGTATCCTGGGACTTAGTACAAGAATTCACTTTTTTTTTTTCTTTTGTTTTTGTTTCTCCTTCTGTATCTACAATCAGGGTGTCAATTTCAAGAAAGTTCACTTCTGTCCTCCAGTTTGTGTAGGACCCTCTCCATTCTTATTCCTTGATTCTCCTCCCCGATAGCCTCTCTTTCAACCCCATTTTCAGCCTTTGGTGTCACTGTGTGTATATGTATGTGTGTTTCTGCAGGCAGTTTTAATATTTGTATGGCTCTTAGTTCTCAAGGGCTAACACTGGTTCATTCCATGGTTTTTCTCACACTGTCCCCGGTGTCCTTACAAGAACCCAGCAGACCTGACTTCTAAATCCACACTCAACCTTCTGTGCAGCAACTGCTCCTTTCCTTTCTATTCCCAGGGCAGAGACACTGGGGGTTTCTCTAGACTCCACATCAGGCATTTCATGGGGGATTGGCTTCTGACTTCTTCCTCAACTGTGACCTTCTCTCACCAGGGCTCAACCTGTTAGCCCAGACTGCCCTGGGCTCTGGAGCATCTGTACTTGCATCTTCCTTGGGGGCACTCAAGGCTGGCACCATCCTGTCGGCCTGCCCTGCCTCTGTGTTAGCGGTTTGCCCCACTGCAGGTGAGTGGCCCTGCTTATCACACACTCCTCCTTGGGCCCCAATTCTTAGTGGAGAACTATGACAAGGCACAGCTTGCTTTGCTTTCTGTTTGTCAGAAACGCAGATGGTTAGGGAATCCAGAAGAGTAGATCATGTAAAATCAATACAATTTTATTGAGTAGAATTTTATTGCATGCATTCATGCCTTAATTGGGAGTCTATTGCTTTGGTAAGTTCCTTGACTTGTTCTAATGGCCTGGGAAGAAGGTAACATGGTCTCCCTTTCATTTTGGAGACAGGACTCACTCTATACCTCAGGCCAACTCAAGAGGTGCTATGTTTGTAACCCAGGAGGATTGCCATTTAAGCTTGTGACAATTTCCCTGCCAGATGCCTGAGTGCTGAAATTATTGGAACAAGGCACAATGTCTGTCAATATTATGCCTCTGTGACCTGAAAGGACCATTGTTCCAAGGCCCTGGGCGGGAGGAATTGTAGGGCTTTTCCTTCTGCCAGGGACAGGAAATAGAAAGGAAATTCAGGGCTCTGGAAACAGTAGGGCTGTGGGGGTGATGGTGGGAGAGGCCCAGGCTGAAGATCTGACACTCCCAACAGGCTTGGCTACCCTGTCGCCATCAGTTGAGCTTGCATGCTAGCAAGCAGACAGATAGTACCCTTTGCTTTGCAGGAGGGTCTTCCTGTCTCATGGTCCGGGCAGCCTGACAACCACCTCCCCTGCTTACCAGTACAGGTGGGCAGTAAATGCCTTCCAGCCATCTTCTTGAGGCCCTGGGTCCACATCCCCTCCACTTAGAGACTCCCACAATGGCTCTCCTCCAGCCACTCAGCCTCTCCCTGTACAAGCCTGGCTTTTATTCTCCTGCCTTTATCCATAGGCCACTAGAGAGCTGGCTAAACGTTCTGGGTTACCTTTGACCCTCTGGCCCTACAAGCTTCAGAGTTTGGAATCCTGGCCACTGTGGCTGCAGGTGACCAGGATCCTGCATGCTGCCTGTGGACTGACAGTGTTGGGAGCAGAGTTCATATGTACCTAAATATGGCTCAGTATGGTTGCTCAGTGTCTAGAGTAATGAATTCTGTCCAGGGGAATCCAGGAAGGCTTCCTGGAGGAGTAAACAATGAAATGGTGCCTTACTTCATCCAAACATGTCTGTTTAGTAGTGTTCAGGCAGTCAGTGGTAGTCAATGCCTATAAGAGGCAGGCAGGTCTCTGTGTTCAAGGCCAGCCTGGTCTACAGAGTGCGGTACAGGAGAGCCAAGGCTACAAAGAGAAACCCTGTCAGGAAAAACCAAATAGAAAACAGGAAGATTCTGATAACATGTCTGCATCTCAGGTGCTTGACCTTAGTACAAGTACACCCTACAATGAGTGCCACTCTGTAATCTGGAGATGTCCTGCCTCCTGCAGGGCCAAAGGCTGAAGTGATTTGTTTTGATCTAATCAACAAAGTTTGCCTAAATATCAGGGTGCAAAGCTAGCTGCACAAGTTAGCAATAAAGGTCAGGCAACGCTGGTAAGCATCTTTAACGCCACCAGCCACACCGGAAATCAACAGAGGCCAGGGAGTGGTGGTGCACACCCTAAAAAACAGCACTCAGGAGACAGGGGCACACGGATCTCTGTTAGTTCAAGGCCACCCTGGGCTACATGAAATTGATTCAGTCTAAAAGAGAAACAGAACTCACTCGAGGGTGATCTCAGCAACTGGGATCCCATGCTTTTAATCCCCAAACTAGAGAGGAATATGAGGCCAGAGGAGACAGGAGCTCAAGGCAGGTGCAGGTTTGCTGGATTGCAGTAAAGTCTGAGGACATTGCAATGCAGTCTGGAGCAGTCTGAGGTTGAGTGGGTCACCCCTTCTGTCTGAGTGTTGGTGGAGGGGAGAACTCACTAGTGGCTGGCCATTCTGCTTCTCTGATCTTCATCTTTAGCTCCACTATCTGTCCCTGATTATTTATTATGAACACTAACTAGAGTTTGTGTTACAAAACAGGGTATCTGGTAACCCACGCTGGCAAACACTAACCCGGCTTCTGCTCTAATCAGTTAGTATCTGTGCTCTGAAGGGAAGAACCCACCATGGTAGCTTTTGTGGTTTGACTGAGAATGGAACCCAAAGGCTCACATGTTTGACTGGGGTCACTAGTTGGTAGAAGTGTTTAGGAAGATTAGGAGGAGTGTTCTTGTTGGAGGAAGTGCCTCACTGGTTTTTGGCTTTCAGGAGTCAAAAGCAGCACATGACCCCCTGCCTGTTGTCTGCTCTCTGTGGTAGTTGAGGCTTAGCCCTACATCACTCAAGCCAGGGCTCCTCATTAGAGCTCCAGTACTCTGTGCTCATTGAGAGAGTCTATCACGGGGTCCAGGGAGACCCACAAGAACAGTTGGTGGGTTTTTTTTTTTTTTCTGTTTTGTTTTGTTTTGTTTTGTTTGTTTTGTTTTCCATGGAATCCAGGAAAGCCACTCTCTTTCCAGCGTATATCCCCAGCCTTTTTTAGCTTCGTTTTGGTTTGTTTTCACTGAACCTCCCAGCTTTGGGCTGCAGAGAAAAGAAATGATGACTTCAGACTTCCTTCCCCTGTGCAGGCTCACAGAAAGCATGCAAATGCCAAAAAACAGAGCAAAGATCTCTGTGTTCTCCAGAGGTCAGCTGCCAGTCCCTGCTCAGGGCACACAGATGCACTTGGGTCCTCTCTCTCAGGGAAGGACAGACAGGGCTCATTCCTCCTTGTGAGCTGTGTGGGGGAGGGGACAGTGGCAATTTTCTCACAGGATGCTCTTTTCCATTCTAGCCAAGGCTGCTGTTGCTGTGCTTGGGGGAGGTAAGTGTCTTCAGGGAAGGGTGCCAGTCCACTCCTAGTCCTCCCTGGAAGCAGGGAGCCAGGAAGCCACCCATCTCGTCCAGATAGGTTTCCCCAGAGGTGGTGGGGCAAAGGTGAATATAGGATGATGGAAGTGTCTAGAAAGAAGGACCTGAAATAAGGAGGGAGTGTATGAAGCCACAGGCCACATCTCAAGTAGGTATGGACCACCTTGTGTGAGAATAGTCACCTTAGGCCTGGTGAATGCATGTAAACTCCTCTGAACTCCTAATTGCTTCTTTAAACAATGACCTTGTTGAGCTCATTTAGAGATTCCCATGTGTCTCTAGAACTGAGATAAGCAGAGTAGGAATGTTCTAGACAAGGTATGCACGCACCCTGAGCTTCATGGGTCTTGACATGCTCAGTGGAGACACACAATGCTCTGGGAGGCCTCCTCCAGCCCCAACAGTTGTGTCCCTGCATCTCCTTTGTCCCGGGCAAGATGTGACCCTCTATAACACTAACTTTGGGCCACTCTCTGATCCCAGCATTAGACTAGACAGACACTGAGGCCCCAACAGCACCTTTCCTGAAGGTCTTGCTGCCAATCAGAGCCAGCCCAGGACTCCATCTTCAGGAACAAACATGTATCTCTTCCTACTCTCCCTGGCTGCTAACTCCTGCCTGGCTCTCTGGTTCAGAGCCTGCCTCCAGCCTCACATTGTACCTTTGCCCTCTGGGCTCCTCCAAGGAAGCCTTTGAGGGAAGGGGGAAGGCCTTGACCCAGTCTTCCCTGTCATTCTCTCCTTCTGCAGACCCCAGCAGGTCCCCCAGGGTAGACCCAGTATTGTGGGGTCCCTTTCCACAAAGCCACCTGACTCAGCTCCTCTTCCCACAGCCATGACTGTAGCTGCTGTGCCCCCAGTGCTGAGTGCTGTGGGCTTCACTGGGACAGGGATTGCTGCCTCATCTCTAGCAGCTAAGATGATGTCCCTGTCAGCTATTGCTAATGGGGGCGGAGTTGCAGCTGGTGGCTTGGTGGCCACTCTGCAGTCAGTGGGTAAGTGTCATGGCAGGAGGACAGAGGGAGGGAAGACACAGCCCAGGTTCTCAGCCTCTGCTTTACCTTCCTTCTGGGTTTTAGCTGAGGAGGTGGAGGGGGGGGGGCCCTGACCAGCTTACCTGGGGTTCAAACCTCCACCTGGGGTCCAGTCTTCTTCCCTACAGAGGGGGGTGTTTTCCGGCTAGATTGATTTTCCCTGGAGTTCCTGAGTGGAACAGTTCCATGAATAAGTAACTCTGCTAGACACAGATCCTGGGGCCTTTTGAAATATTGTGGGATATTGCGGGATATTGTGCGGGATATTGTGAGACTTGTACATCGGGCCATCCTTAGTGACATTGCCAACTAGGACCATCTCTGAACCCATAGTTTCACCCATTGTTGCATTTATCATCCTTTGTTTCTCCTGCAGGAGCTGCCGGACTTTCCATGCCATCTCAAGTCCTCTTGGGGTCTGCAGGAACTGCCCTTGTGGCCAGTGTGATGGGCATCTCTGGTAGTTCCAACCCTTCTGTCCTCAGAGAAGAGGACAGGGAAGCAGAGATGATACCTCCCAGCTTGTTTAACTCAGATTGTGAGAAGTTACCTCCAGGAGACGATCTGTCCTCCTGGGCTTAGGAGATTCTGCCATTGTAGCTAGTGTGGTGGGCATCAACAAATCCTCCAGCCCTTCTTTCCTCTGAGAAGAGGGCATGGATCCAGGACCATCACTTCCCTGGTTTTCCAAGGAAGATGAGGATCTGTTAAACCCAGGGGCCAATCAGGCAACAACAAATGTCAAATTGGAAATAAGAAATAAAACCAATTGTTGCAACCCTTATCATCCCCTTGAAATCATGTGTGACTTTTCATGGTAAAGGCTGAGCAGTGACTTGACCTCCTTCGTATCTGAGCTTTGGTGGGTTAGGCTGACCTCTTTCTCCAGACATCTTGTTACAGAGACACATGATATAGGTGAGTTCTCTTGTGAAATGAGTCTATCTGTGAAGACTGAAACTGCATGAACACTTTGGTGGCCCTTGCCTTTAATCCCAGCTCTCAGGAGGCAGAGGTAGGTGGATCTCTGTGAATTCCAGGATAGCCTGATCTACACAGTGAGTTCCAGGATGGGCTCCAAAATTACACAGACAAACTCTGTATCAAAAAGCAAAAAAAAACAAACAAACAAAAAACAACAACAACAACAACAACAAAAAAAAACCTGAAAGAAAAAAAAGAAAAAGGAAGGAAAGAAAATAGAAACTGCCCTTGCCCTATCCTCATCCTGTATCTCTGAGCAGCTCACCTCCTTTTGCCCTAGGAGGGGAGTTGACCTAAATGACCTCTCATATCCCAGCCAGGTGGGGGTTGGCTCAGTCATTCTGAGCAGTTGTAGCATGGCATCTGGTTTGAGCCACTCATGTCAAACCCACACTCCACCCTCCCCACTGTATAGCCAGTGATCACTCCTGGAAGCCTGAATTTAAACACTTGCCCCAGCTAGGTCACCAGAGAAACCCAAAGCCTCTGCCTATTCTGTCTGTCCTGCATTCCCACTAGAGTAAGCTGACTTCTCCCTTTGTGTGTCCAGCAGAGACCTTGCCACATTTGGGGAGGGAAATAGTTCACTGGTCTTATTTGTTTTCAGGAAGTGGTTGTCTCTTCTAACTTGCCCCACCCCTTACAAACACAGAGCATTTATAGCTATTGGAGCCCCAGGAGGAATTTCCCTGTGGCAGAGGCAGTCCTCATCCTCCCTCAAAGGGAGACAACTCCCTACCCTAGTGTCCAAGACCAAAGGTTGCCACAGTCTCCATTCATAATTCATATCTCCTTTTCAAGCAGTGATGTGTATAATTGAAAGATTTAAACCCACCATTCTCTGAAAAAATCTTCATTAGTCTCCTAGACAAAGTTATTTTTATACCTACCGGTGACCTGGGATGGCTACAAATACCTCCTGGAAATCCTCTTCTTGGCCAAATGGAGGAACAGACTGCTGCATGGGAGTGAAGAAACCACCCTTGGGCCTGACGGAGGATCACTGCCAGACAGGGTTTGAGGGTATGAATGGGTCGCACTTAGTGGAGATTGATCAAACGGTTAACAATAACTATGATTGTGCAGGGGGAAATGCAAAACAAAAGATTGCCCTGAGCAGTAGCTGCAGTGCTCAGGGAGACATACAGAAGAGATCCCAAGGGGAAGTCAGGGACACCAGGAAAGGCACAAGGGCATCCAGGTCTATGTCAACGATTTCAAAGTGGGGAGGCGTCTATGCTCAGGTATTGGAACCCTGCAAGAGGCCAGTGGCCTATCTGTCCATCAGACTTGGTGAATGGGAGATGTCATTCTGTAAATATGTTTCTCATCTTGGTTAATGAATAAAGCACTGTTGGCCAATAGGAAAGCAAGATAGGCAGGACTAGGAGAAAAGGAGGAGAGAGGAAGCAATATGGAAGAGATTCAAGATATAGGACCAAGGGAGAAGAATGTCGGACCCTCCGGTAAGATGAGACCATGTGGAAATGGATTAATAGAAATGGATTAATATTTAAGACAGAGCTAGCCAATAAGAAATGCTAGTAACCGGCCAACAGAATTATATCTAATACAGCGTCTCTGTGCTATTTGGGGCAGGCATTGCAGTGGAACTAGTCAGGTGGGAAAACATGTTCGTAACACTCAGTCCTGTTTCTGTCCATAGGGCACCACAGCTATGCTAACAAAAGAAGCTGATGCATTGACTTTGGGCAGCAACTGTTCAGATCACCACATACCCTGTTGAGGCCCTTTTGAGGGGGGACCCCAGAGAGGTGGGTAGACAATGCCTGAATGATGCATTATCATGCACTTCTCTAAGACATAAAGACCTATGTAAAATATTCTATATGTAACAAACTAAATGCCATATGACTAAGTTAACATTAAAGTGTTCCTCTTAGAAGACTTTAAAAAAAAATTCAAGTGATGATGTATGTTGTAGCTAGCAGGGACATTTTTTTTTTTAATTAGAAACAGAAAGAGTAAAATCTTGGTCGTTTTGCAAGTGTATTATAAGCTTTTCTGGGTAAGAATAAACAAACACCAAAATAACAACAAAGCTAACCCAGGTTGGGCATTGTGGCACACACCTATAGTCTCAGCATACACAAGGCTGATATGGGATGACCTTAAGTCTTGGGCGAGCTTGGGGTACATAGCAAGACTCTGCCTCAAAACAAAGAAAGCCACGGTAGCAAAACAGACCATGACAACTGGAAAATAAATTTGTACTACACATGTGATTGGAGTAAGGATATTTATGCATAATTAATACAGAAAATATTTCAGTTTTTAAATTTTTATGTGCATGTACATGTATGTAAGTGCCTCATGTGTGACAGTAAGTGAAGGGGACAAAAGTGGCTGCTCAGGCCCCTGAGGCAGGAGTTACAGGCAGTTGTGAATTCCTGCCCCAGGTGCTGGGAGCCCAGCTCAAGTCCTGTAGATGAGCAAGTGCTGTTCCACATGAACCATCTCTCTGTCTCCTTCTCTACCTAACCTAACATCTTTGTGACCATTAGACAAATCCTTTGGAACACACAAACGCCAGGCTCCCACCAAGCAAAAAGGGAGGAACACCATCATTTAGCACCTGAGGCCTAGCACCAGAGGCTCCCCCATCGGCTTTGAACTTCCCACTCATGTCTTCACTCACTCATGTATTTTTGAAGTGTGTGCTTGCGTGTGTGTGTGTGTGTGTGTGTGTGTGTGTGTGTGTGTGTTAAGGGTCAGTCAGGATAGATATTAATCTAAGGAAAAGCATCTACTCAGACATAAGCAGATGAGTGATCAACAGGTGCCTTCTTCCCTAAGGCCTTCAAACCTCCACCAGGACTCTGACCCATTGCAAGGGGTGGGTCATTTGCCTATTGGTTCACCAACAAGAGTCCTTCCTGCTCTCCTCAGATTTAAGTCACTTCCTAAGCTTACCTGCTGCCAACACATCTCATCATGAAGAAAAGTTAGTAGCCCTCAGCACCGGTGTGGTCTGGGAACTGGGCTCCCTGACACAAACTTACTGCCATCAGCCATCTCTAATCTCTTCTATCCACTCTTCTCTCCCCAGGAACAATGGTTGGTGCTGCAATAGGAGCAGGTAGGTTTCTTGTACCTGCTGGGGGGCTGTGGGAGCTTTGTGCTTTGCTGTGGGCTCAACCCCAGCTCTTGCCTTCCCTTTATTCTGGAGCTGCCTGGGTGAAGATGAGGGCCAAGACTGTGCTTCATCCCTGGATGAGCTTAAGGTTTCCTGCCTGGTTTCTCCTCCAGGCTTGTATATGATGAGCAGCAAGTAGAAAATTAATTGGAAAAATGGGAGGGACAGTTACTTAAACTGCAGTAGTTAATTAACCCCTCACAAGCTAGAAGCCCAGAGAAGGATGATGATTTCTTATTGTCACACACCTTGATAAGACCGTGGCTCTTTCAGATCCTCCACAGACCTCTTTACCTCCACTTGGCTCCCTGCCCTACCCCTGGGATTCCCTTCCCTGATGCTCAGAATAGAAAGATCCCTTCAAGCAGTCAAGGAATTCTTGAGTGGGTCTTCCCATGGAACCCACACCACACAACTCCTCTCCCCACAGCTGGGGCTGTGATTGCTGTTCCCCTTGCCCTGGGTGCTGTGGGCTTCACTGCTGCAGGTATTGCAGCAGGATCCACAGCAGCCAAGATGATGTCAGCAGCAGCACTCGCCAATGGGGGTGGAGTTGCAGCAGGAAGCCTGGTAGCCACACTGCAGTCAGTGGGTAAGTGTCAGTCCAGGCAAGATGACTGGAGACCAAGCTACACAAGGCTCCCTCCCTTCCTCTCCCTACAGTCTCACCTTTCATAGGACCCGGGTCTTCTGGTTCTATGGCTACTCTCTGGGTCAGTGTGAGAGAGGCTGGGGTGTGCAGGCAGGCAGAAGGGGTGCTGGATGGTGGAAGCAGGAAGGAGCCCTGCTCCAAGGTGCAGGCTGCCTGGGCTCTGAATCTTCCCTACCTTATGTGTCCTCCTGCAGTGTGTCCCCCTCTGTCCTGCTATGTAGAGGGGACATTGCTCTCTGGACAGCTCCCCCTCCTGTATCTCAGTTTACCCAAGTCTGTCTTCTCCTTCTGGTGCACTTTGAGTATCTCTGTCTAATGCAGAGCCCTAGGATTCAGACAAAAATGTAGCTGGGCATCTCTAAGCCTCAGGCCACTGAGTGTCACTGCACTGTCTCCTTCCCAGGGGCTGCTGGACTCTCTACATCATCCAACGTCATCCTGGGGTCTGTTGGGGCAGTGGTTGGGGCATCTGTTGAGGAAGCCGTGGAAGCTTTGCTTAAATTCATTAGACAAAAGTTGAACCAAACAAGGAACACCAGGAAATAGTATACCCCAAGATGAACCACCAAACCCTCATTGAAGTCAGAGAAAGATGAGAAATAAAGGTTATATGTTAGGAAACCTACCTTTGCTTGTGGTGACTCTTTGAAGGGACTTGTGGACTGGGAGTTTCAAGTCTTCAGGTTTCCTAAGAGGTCAAAGGTTGCACAGCTCACAGTCAGTAGGCAGAAGTCTTTAGGCGATCCCTGCCTCACTGGAGAAGGTCTGTATGGCAAGGTATTTTTTCCCCTCTGTCTTTATGGAGCTTATTTGTTCCTGATTAAAGGTTGCTGTCCTGGGGTAAAGGTGACCCCAGAGCTCTTTGTCCTTCTTCATCGATGGTTCTGGGTGTACAGGGCTGTGAGCAGCACAAACCTAACTCACTGTACCAGGGATGTACTGGTCCATAAACTTGGAAAGGAGGCTGAAATTCCTACCTTAAGTCCTGGGACCCTACCACACCTTCACCCAAGGGTGGTAGTCAGTGCCCATTTGATGTAAAATGCAAAGCTGACAGAGTCCACAACGACACACAAGTGTTAGAGAAAAGGGGGATCTGGAAGATTTCCTGAAGGAGGGACAAATCGATGGGACATGCAAAGTCTATCCCAGGAGCACACACAGAGATGTGGCTGTGCATGGACTTCTGCTAGATCAGGTCTGATGGGTTGGATTGCGTCACTCCCTTCCAGGCAATCAAGAAGAGCCTCTGTTGGGTTATTATCTGGAAGCAGTCTGGCTAGATTGATGGCTGAAGTTTTACAGAAACGGGTGGAGTTGGCCCAGATGTGACTGATGATGCATCATTGTCACATTGGCTACCTACCTTTCTGGAGTCCTCCTACAAAGGGGCCTCAACAGGGTATGTGGTGTTAGGAATGGTCCCTGGACCAAGTTCAATTTTTCAGCTTCTTATATTAGCATAGCTATAGTGGCCAACTAACAGAAACAGGATCAAGTCTGTTGGACAATTTGGACAGAGTCACAATTCGTCACTAGGATACTTCCCCCATTTGCAAATATTCACATTTTCCTCTAGGATCTCTTCTATATTGTCCCTGAGCAATGCAGATACTGCTGAAGTCAATCTTTGGTTTTGAGTTATTTTTCCCACATGGTCATAATTATGGTGAGCCTTGTGAGTGATCTCCCATAAATGGAACCAATTCATATGCACAAATCCTTCTAACTTCAGAAGGTACTTTCTATTATCTCAGGTTGAATGTTGTTAACTGCCTTTCTGGTCGCTCTGGGTCTATGGGAATGAAAATCAGGATCAGGTGAGGGTGAACACAAGTCCTTTGGGAACACAGTAGGTGATTCTTAGGACTCTTGTATTACCTCCATCACTTAGACAGCTTGGAAATGTTTTTAGCAGCTACCTTCAACACATGAAAAGTGACCTGGCAAAAACTCTTCAGAGCCTCCTTATCTTGGCCAGCGTTGGAGTCCAAGTCAAGTCAGGGTGAGAGAAAACCCGTTCTAACTGGAATACCCTGTCTGGCAGTGATCCTCTGTAGGCCCAAAGATGGTCTTTCCACTCCTGTGACCCAGTCTGTCCCTGCTTTGGCCATGAAGAGGGTGTCCAGGAGCTGTTGGCAATTTTCGCAGGTCACTTGTAGCTATGAAAAATTGTGTCTAGGACACTAATGAGGACCTGAAGCTTTTTAGAGAATGGTGAGTTTGAAACTTCTGATTGAACATATCAGTGCCTGGTAAGGAGATATGAATCAGGAATGGAGACAGGGGCAACCTTTGGTCTTGGACACTGGGAAGGGGATAACTCCCATAGAGGGAGGATGAGGACTGCCTCAGGCCTGAAGAAATTCTTCCTGAAGCCTCCATAATTATAGCCACTCTGGTTGTGTGGACAGGAGGGGGGGCCCAAGGTAGAAGAAATTATTGTTTTCTTAAACAAGGTGAGACCAGTGAACTATACCCTCTCCCCACCAGCATGGCCAGGATCTGTGATGGGCACATGAAGGGGAATTCAGTTTCCTCTAGTGGGGCTTCAGGATAGAGAATAGACAGAGGCTTTGGGTTTCTCTGGTGACCTAGCTGGGGTCAGTGTTTAAATTCAGGCCTCCAGGAGTGATCACTGGCTACACAGTGGGGAGGGTGGAGTGTGGGTTTGACATGAGTGGCTCAAACCAGATGCCATGCTACAACTGCTCAGAGGGACTGAGCCAACCCCCACCTGGCTGGGATATGAGAGGTCATTTAGGTCAACTCCCCCCCTCCCCCCCGAAGGAGCCACTGAGGAGGTGACCTTGGAAGAGTTATCAGAGCAAAGGGCAGCTTCTGTTTTCATTTTAGACTCATTCCACCTGAGCACACCTACACCATGTGTCTCTGTGACAAGATGTGGGAGAAGGAGCTGAGCCTACCCCACCCAAGCTGTGGAAGCTGAGGGGTGGAGACCTGATGAAACTTTACCACTAAAACGGCACACATGGTGTTAATTGAATGATATGGCTGGCGATACATTGTTTTTATTTCTTATTTCCAGTTAGACACTTGGCCTTGGCAGTTTGTTGCCTGGGATTAACTGATCCTTCTCTGGCTTAAAAAATGGCTGTAAGAAGGGGCTCTATGTCCATTCTTACAGCAGAGAAGGGCTGAGACTCTCAAATGCCCATCACACCAGCAATGAGAGTAGACCCAGCAGAGCCCAAGAGGAACTTTGATGACATGGACAGTCCAGCTGCTCCTGAAGAACAAAAACATGAACGAAATGAGATGGGGGGACACTATGGGTTCAGAGATGATCCTAGTTGCTAGAGTCACTCAGGATGGCCCGAGGTACAAGTCTCACAATATCCCCCAATATCCCACAATATTTCAAAAGGCCCCAGGATCTGTGTCTAGCAGAGTTACTTATTCATGGAACTGTTCCACTCAGGAACTCCAGGGAAAATCAATCTAGCCGGAAAACACCCCCCTCTGTAGGGAAGAAGACTGGACCCCAGGTGGAGGTTTGAACCCCAGGTAAGCTGGTCAGGCCCCCCCCTCCACCTCCTCAGCTAAAACCCAGAAGGAAGGTAAAGCAGAGGCTGAGAACCTGGGCTGTGTCTTCCCTCCCTCTGTCCTCCTGCCATGACACTTACCCACTGACTGCAGAGTGGCCACCAAGCCACCAGCTGCAACTCCGCCCCCCATTAGCAATAGCTGACAGGGACATCATCTTAGCTGCTAGAGATGAGGCAGCAATCCCTGTCCCAGTGAAGCCCACAGCACTCAGCACTGGGGGCACAGCAGCTACAGTCATGGCTGTGGGAAGAGGAGCTGAGTCAGGTGGCTTTGTGGAAAGGGACCCCACAATACTGGGTCTACCCTGGGGGGACCTGCTGGGGTCTGCAGAAGGAGAGAATGACAGGGAAGACTGGGTCAAGGCCTTCCCCCTTCCCTCAAAGGCTTCCTTGGAGGAGCCCAGAGGGCAAAGGTACAATGTGAGGCTGGAGGCAGGCTCTGAACCAGAGAGCCAGGCAGGAGTTAGCAGCCAGGGAGAGTAGGAAGAGATACATGTTTGTTCCTGAAGATGGAGTCCTGGGCTGGCTCTGATTGGCAGCAAGACCTTCAGGAAAGGTGCTGTTGGGGCCTCAGTGTCTGTCTAGTCTAATGCTGGGATCAGAGAGTGGCCCAAAGTTAGTGTTATAGAGGGTCACATCTTGCCCGGGACAAAGGAGATGCAGGGACACAACTGTTGGGGCTGGAGGAGGCCTCCCAGAGCACTGTGTGTCTCCACTGAGCATGTCAAGACCCATGAAGCTCAGGGTGCGTGCATACCTTGTCTAGAACATTCCTACTCTGCTTATCTCAGTTCTAGAGACACATGGGAATCTCTAAATGAGCTCAACAAGGTCATTGTTTAAAGAAGCAATTAGGAGTTCAGAGGCGTTTACATGCATTCACCAGGCCTAAGGTGACTATTCTCACACAAGGTGGTCCATACCTACTTGAGATGTGGCCTGTGGCTTCATACACTCCCTCCTTATTTCAGGTCCTTCTTTCTAGACACTTCCATCATCCTATATTCACCTTTGCCCCACCACCTCTGGGGAAACCTATCTGGACGAGATGGGTGGCTTCCTGGCTCCCTGCTTCCAGGGAGGACTAGGAGTGGACTGGCACCCTTCCCTGAAGACACTTACCTCCCCCAAGCACAGCAACAGCAGCCTTGGCTAGAATGGAAAAGAGCATCCTGTGAGAAGATTGCCACTGTCCCCTCCCCCACACAGCTCACAAGGAGGAATGAGCCCTGTCTGTCCTTCCCTGAGAGAGAGGACCCAAGTGCATCTGTGTGCCCTGAGCAGGGACTGGCAGCTGACCTCTGGAGAACACAGAGATCTTTGCTCTGTTTTTTGGCATTTGCATGCTTTCTGTGAGCCTGCACAGGGGAAGGAAGTCTGAAGTCATCATTTCTTTTCTCTGCAGCCCAAAGCTGGGAGGTTCAGTGAAAACAAACCAAAACGAAGCCAAAAAAGGCTGGGGATATACACTGGAAAGAGAGTGGCTTTCCTGGATTCCATGGAAAACAAAACAAACAAAACGTAACAGAAAAAAAAAAAAAAAAAAAAAAAAACCACCAACTCAACTCTTCTTGTGGGTCTCCCTGGACCCTGTGATAGACTCTCTCAATGAGCTCTGGAGCTCTAATGAGGAGCCTTGGCTTGAGTGATGTAGGGCTAAGCCTCAACTACCACAGAGAGCAGACAACAGGCAGGGGGTCATGTGCTGCTTTTGACTCCTGAAAGCCAAAAACCAGTGAGGCACTTCCTCCAACAAGAACACTCCTCCTAATCTTCCTAAACACTTCTACCAACTAGTGACCCGAGTCAAACATGTGAGCCTTTGGGTTCCATTCTCAGTCAAACCACAAAAGCTACCATGGTGGGTTCTTCCCTTCAGAGCACAGATACTAACTGATTAGAGCAGAAGCCGGGTTAGTGTTTGCCAGCGTGGGTTACCAGATACCCTGTTTTGTAACACAAACTCTAGTTAGTGTTCATAATAAATAATCAGGGACAGATAGTGGAGCTAAAGATGAAGATCAGAGAAGCAGAATGGCCAGCCACTAGTGAGTTCTCCCCTCCACCAACACTCAGACAGAAGGGGTGACCCACTCAACCTCAGACTGCTCCAGACTGCATTGCAATGTCCTCAGACTTTACTGCAATCCAGCAAACCTGCACCTGCCTTGAGCTCCTGTCTCCTCTGGCCTCATATTCCTCTCTAGTTTGGGGATTAAAAGCATGGGATCCCAGTTGCTGAGATCACCCTCGAGTGAGTTCTGTTTCTCTTTTAGACTGAATCAATTTCATGTAGCCCAGGGTGGCCTTGAACTAACAGAGATCCGTGTGCCCCTGTCTCCTGAGTGCTGTTTTTTAGGGTGTGCACCACCACTCCCTGGCCTCTGTTGATTTCCGGTGTGGCTGGTGGCGTTAAAGATGCTTACCAGCGTTGCCTGACCTTTATTGCTAACTTGTGCAGCTAGCTTTGCACCCTGATATTTAGGCAAACTTTATTGATTAGATCAAAACAAATCACTTCAGCCTTTGGCCCTGCAGGAGGCAGGACATCTCCAGATTACAGAGTGGCACTCATTGTAGGGTGTACTTGTACTAAGGTCAAGCACCTGAGATGCAGACATGTTATCAGAATCTTCCTGTTTTCTATTTGGTTTTTCCTGACAGGGTTTCTCTTTGTAGCCTTGGCTCTCCTGTAGCGCACTCTGTAGACCAGGCTGGCCTTGAACACAGAGACCTGCCTGCCTCTTATAGGCATTGACTACCACTGACTGCCTGAACACTACTAAACAGACATGTTTGGATGAAGTAAGGCACCATTTCATTGTTTACTCCTCCAAGAAGCCTTCCTGGATTTCCCTGGACAGAATTCATTACTCTAGACACTGAGCAACCATACTGAGCCATATTTAGGTACATATGAACTCTGCTCCCAACACTGTCAGTCCACAGGCAGCATGCAGGATCCTGGTCACCTGCAGCCACAGTGGCCAGGATTCCAAACTCTGAAGCTTGTAGGGCCAGAGGGTCAAAGATAACCCAGAAAGTTTAGCCAGCTCTCTAGTGGCCTATGGATAAAGGCAGGAGAATAAAAGCCAGGCTTGTACAGGGAGAGACTGAGTGGCTGGAGGAGAGCCATTGTGGGAGTCTCTAAGTGGAGGGGATGTGGACCCAGGGCCTCAAGAAGATGGCTGGAAGGCATTTACTGTCCACCTGTACTGGTAAGCAGGGGAGGTGGTTGTCAGGCTGCCCGGACCATGAGACAGGAAGACCCTCCTGCAAAGCAAAGGGTACTATCTGTCTGCTTGCTAGCATGCAAGCTCAACTGATGGCGACAGGGTAGCCAAGCCTGTTGGGAGTGTCAGATCTTCAGCCTGGGCCTCTCCCACCATCACCCCCACAGCCCTACTGTTTCCAGAGCCCTGAATTTCCTTTCTATTTCCTGTCCCTGGCAGAAGGAAAAGCCCTACAATTCCTCCCGCCCAGGGCCTTGGAACAATGGTCCTTTCAGGTCACAGAGGCATAATATTGACAGACATTGTGCCTTGTTCCAATAATTTCAGCACTCAGGCATCTGGCAGGGAAATTGTCACAAGCTTAAATGGCAATCCTCCTGGGTTACAAACATAGCACCTCTTGAGTTGGCCTGAGGTATAGAGTGAGTCCTGTCTCCAAAATGAAAGGGAGACCATGTTACCTTCTTCCCAGGCCATTAGAACAAGTCAAGGAACTTACCAAAGCAATAGACTCCCAATTAAGGCATGAATGCATGCAATAAAATTCTACTCAATAAAATTGTATTGATTTTACATGATCTACTCTTCTGGATTCCCTAACCATCTGCGTTTCTGACAAACAGAAAGCAAAGCAAGCTGTGCCTTGTCATAGTTCTCCACTAAGAATTGGGGCCCAAGGAGGAGTGTGTGATAAGCAGGGCCACTCACCTGCAGTGGGGCAAACCGCTAACACAGAGGCAGGGCAGGCCGACAGGATGGTGCCAGCCTTGAGTGCCCCCAAGGAAGATGCAAGTACAGATGCTCCAGAGCCCAGGGCAGTCTGGGCTAACAGGTTGAGCCCTGGTGAGAGAAGGTCACAGTTGAGGAAGAAGTCAGAAGCCAATCCCCCATGAAATGCCTGATGTGGAGTCTAGAGAAACCCCCAGTGTCTCTGCCCTGGGAATAGAAAGGAAAGGAGCAGTTGCTGCACAGAAGGTTGAGTGTGGATTTAGAAGTCAGGTCTGCTGGGTTCTTGTAAGGACACCGGGGACAGTGTGAGAAAAACCATGGAATGAACCAGTGTTAGCCCTTGAGAACTAAGAGCCATACAAATATTAAAACTGCCTGCAGAAACACACATACATATACACACAGTGACACCAAAGGCTGAAAATGGGGTTGAAAGAGAGGCTATCGGGGAGGAGAATCAAGGAATAAGAATGGAGAGGGTCCTACACAAACTGGAGGACAGAAGTGAACTTTCTTGAAATTGACACCCTGATTGTAGATACAGAAGGAGAAACAAAAACAAAAGAAAAAAAAAAAGTGAATTCTTGTACTAAGTCCCAGGATACATCACCAAGAATATATCACCCAGGTGAAGAGCCCAGGAACTGAGGTCTCAGAGGAGGGCCTTATGAAGCATGTAGGTCTGTGGTTTTAGAGACTCAAAGCCCACGACCACACCGGGGTCTTACCTCCCTCAAGCTTTTCAGAGATGAGGGGACCATGGAAGTATGACACTAGGCAGTTTTAAAGTCAGAATGTTGCCCTCTCCATCACTATCTCCTCACTCCCCATTCTTGACTCTTTCTTTGTCACTCACCCTGTGAACCAGCTAGAATTGTGCCAGAGACTGCCCCTCCAGCTTTGACCATGGCTGCTGAAGCTGTGATCTTAGAGACAAGGGAAACCACCAGTGTGCCTGTTCCAGACAACGCCATGGAGCTCAGCAGAGATTCCAAATATTACTGAAACCTGTGAAAAGAAGTGGAGTTTTGTTGAGGAGTTTGGGGCCCCAGGGCTGGATTTCCATCAACCAACCTAAAACTCCTAAGGCTCCTGGGTGGATAGAGCTCCTGGCCAGAATTTGTGGTTAACGGTGGGCTTGGTGCAAGTTTTCGGGTGCAATATCCTGCACCAGTTAAGCAGATGGGAGAACAGGCACCATTTCAGGCACTACAAGTTATTTTCTTTGGAGCTGATGGTGCCTCCGTGACAACAAAAGGAATGTCAGAGAGGGACTGTACACTGGCCTCCTTTCAGACTTTAAGGCCCATGCCACCAAGGCTATGGGCATCAGGAAAGACCTGTCTCTCCCTGGCCTTATCCAATATAGATTTACTAAATAAGCCGAAATATCACCCACTACCAACCACAACCACACACACTTCCATCCTCCCCTATCCTGGATGTGTTTCTGGATATTTTTATTTCATTCAGAGAGGAAAATACAATCTTATTTAATGACATACCTAGAGATGCGAGGGAGGTGATGGAATCAGTTTCGTTTTCCCCAGATCTCTCCAGGCCTGAAAAATCCACTTTGGTGGAAGACACACCCAGTGATTCAAGGTAGCCAATGGGATCATTTCCTTTTCCCTGGTCTCTGAGTGCTGAAAATTTCACTGTGATGGAAGGCAGCCAGTGAGATAGCTTTCGTTTTCCCTTCTCTCTCCAAATATTTTGATTTGGAATAAATGTCCTACTGAAAGACTTAAACTAGCAAAGAAATGAAATGGACCCCAAATAATTGGAATTCCGGGCAGCCTGACCAAGGCCACTGTGACTTAGTTCCTGGAATTTGCTAACCACCTGCAACCTCTCCCTTACAAGGCCCTAAGATAGCCAGATACCATGAATTTCCAGATGGTCACCCCCCCCCCAGGGAACTCAAGGGGAACAAATTGCCCCTCCCGTCAATGTGTCCGCAGGGTCCTAGAGAAACAAAGAGATAGCTGCAACTACCGTTTGCTTAGTCAAGATTGATTAGCACACCCTAAACAGTGAGACCATCTAAAATGATAAAGAGCATGCTAGAGCCCATGACTCTGCTCACGTACTCAATGGTCAGAGGGTCATAGCCCCTCTTTAAGCTTGTGTGTTTTGCCTTTAAAAACGTCTGTTCCCAGAGAATGACTCTTCTCTCTAGCCTGCATGCTGAGGGGGCCTGTTTGCACAAAGGTTTCCTGTTTCTTAAAATCTCTTGCCTGTTGCATCAACTGGATTGGACATTGAGTTCTTGGGGGAACTGGCAGAAATGGGGAGATTCCTCATTCTGAGGGTCTTACAGTCATATTCTGTCACTGAGGACTTCTTCCTTTGCAATGCATTGAACATATTCCTTCTTTGACAGAGTTTTTGTTTTTGTTTTGTTTTCTTTCTTTCTTTTTTTCTCCAAGCAGTGAAAAACTTGAAGTGGAAAAAACATGAAGTAATATACATTACCTAATAATCTTGCTTAGGAAATATTAAGTTACACTAAGTGGAATTTAACTAAAGGAGTCCAACATGACTAGAAGAAGGTGTGTGGTATACAACCAGGTCTGTTTTAGATGGTAAAAAAAAAAGAAAAGTTATACCATAATTGGTGTTTAGGGTGTCTGAGACAGTTTCTGATATTGTTCATCAAGAGTGACACCAGCCACCAATTAGGCCACATTCCCATAACAACAGGAGACAACCCTGACTCCCATCCCCTCATCAAAGAACATGCTCTAAGGGGCAGCTCAAGAAAGCAATGCAAGGTCATAACTGCCATTGAGTCCTGGTGCCCCAGCAAGTCCCCTGACCTCTATCAGGAAAGGCTTAACTCTACAGATGGGCAAGATGGGTTTGTAACACAGCCCATGAAGAATCAGCTTCTGGGCAGTGGGCAGGGAACAGAGTTCATAGTGTTGTCACACTAAGATTTTTTTTTCTGTCCAGGTTGTTAGGGAAAAAGGAAAAAGCACACACTTTCCTGATGATTTCACTCTTTATTTTCTCTTGTTGAATTCTGCTAGCTCTCTTTGTTCTTCACAGATTATAAAGACCCGTAAAATCTTTCAGACATTACATCTGAAGGTCACATACCATTATTTAAGTGAATGATAAGAAACACAGTTGTAATAAATCCAGATCAATTGTCACCAGCAGGAGCACTTTCTCTCAGTGAACTCCCTAATCAATGGGTTGTACCCGTGTGCCCTGAAAGTAAACATTTCTGTTCAGTGCTAGATACAGGTTTATTTTATCTTGCATGCTTAACTGACAGGCCACAGCTGACCCATGGGTCACCTGAAGTTAGAAAATGTTGTGGAGATGGACAGAGAGAACAAGTTAGCATTCAGTTATAGAGGAGCAAGACATAGAGACCCATAACTTGGCATATTTTTGTGAATACATGAAGTCTTAAAACATCATACCGGAATCCAGACATCAATTTTGTAGGGTCAGGCCATTGGATGGTGTTGGTGTATTTATTGTCTTTGTTGTGTTATTAAAATCTGTGTACTTTTTAAAAATGAGTTCAAGGTTTTTTTTTTTTTTTTTTTTTTTTTTTTTTTTGCAAGTGATTTGTTTTTGTTACATTAAAGGTATTTTGAGTCTTGTAAAAAACAACTGAACACACAAACGAAGTTTACAGGAATCCAGTGTCCAGTGGCAGTCTGACCTTCGTTTTGTTCTTGCAAAGGAATTTATCTTCAAATGTATGTGCTAGAAATGCTCTTTGCCCTGATAACTCTGCTAAGGTCACCTCCTCAGTGGCTCCTGCCTGGGGAGGGGGGGAGTTGATCTAAATGACCTCTCAGATCTCAGCCAGGTGGGGGTTGGCTCAGTCATTCTGAGCAGTTGTAGCATGGCATCTGGTTTGAGCCACTCATGTCAAACCCACACTCCACCCTCCCCACTGTGTAGCCAGTGATCACTCCTGGAGGCCTGAATTTAAACACTGGCCCCAGCTAGGTCACCAGAGAAACCCAAAGCCTCTGCCTATTCTCTATCCTGAAGCCCCACTAGAGGAAACTGAATTCCCCCTTTGGCCATGCTGGGATGGGGGTGGGAGGCAGGGAACAGGAGAAGGGGTAGTTCACTGGTCTCACTTGGTTTCAGAAAGTGATAGTATCTTCAAACTTGAGTCTCCCCCTCCCTTCCACACAACCAGGGTTGCTATAGTCACTGAGGCTCAAGGAGGAATTTCCCTGGGACAGAGGCAGTCCTCATCCTCCCTCTAAGGGAGTCATCCCCTTCCCAGTGTCCAAGACCAAAGGTTGCCCCTGTTTCCAGAAGAGGTTTTGCCAGGTCATTTTTCATGTATTGAAGGCAGCTGTTAGAGACATTTCCAAGCTGTCTAAGGCGATGGAGGCAATACAAGAGTCCTAGGAATCACCTACTTGGTTCCCAAAGGGCTTGTGTGAGCCTCACCTCATGCTTCACTCCCATAGACCCAGAGGGACCAGAAAAGCAGCCAGCAACCATGTGGGTTTTGTCATGCAGTCAGGCCCAGGTGGTAGAAAGAAACTCCTGATGTTAGAAGGGTTTGAGGGTATGAATGGGTGGCACTTACTGGAGATTGATCAAACGGTTAACAGAAACTATGATTGTGCAGGGGAAAATGCAAAACAAAAGATTGCCCTGAGCAGTAGCTGCAGTGCTCAGGGAGACATACAGAAGAGATCCCAAGGGGAAGTCAGGGACACCAGGAAAGGCACAAGGGCATCCAGGTCTATGTCAACGATTTCAAAGTGGGGAGGCGTCTATGCTCAGGTATTGGAACCCTGCAAGAGGCCAGTGGCCTATCTGTCCGTCAGACTCAGTCCTGTTTCTGTCCATAGGGCACCATAGCTATGCTAACAAAAGAAGCTGACACATTGACTTTGGGCGGGAACTGTTCAGATCACCACATACCCTGTTGAGGCCCTTTTGAGGGGGGACCCCAGAGAGGTGGGTAGACAATGCCTGAATGATGCATTATCATGCACTTCTCCTGGAACAGCCCCATGCCTGTTTCTAAAACCTGAGCATCAATCCAGCCAGGCTGCTGCCAGACAACAACCCAACAGAGCCTGGAAGTGGCTGATGCTGTCCAAGCCGTCAGATGCCCACACAATTATTTCTCTCTGTGATCTCCCAATAGACTTCTGCATGCGTTCCATGTCCCGTATTTCTAGATCTTTTCATGTGTTCTTGTAAGATCAGATCCCAGTCTCTGTATTACATGAATGTGCCTGGTACCTGTCACCGCAGTGCAAAGTGTTCTATGTCATAATTGTTCCATAGGTGCCAGAATCCTCCTGCCTCAGAGCCTGTTGTGTGTCAAATTTCACTGCATCTAACACTGTATTTTGCATCACATAAGTGATGACCACCCATCTTGGGTGAGGATGTGGTCAGGGTTCCAGAATATAAGGCAGTAATTTCAGCCTCCTTTTCAAGTTTACAGACATTGTACAGCAGTGAGCATTTTTTATTCTATCTCCTCCCCAGGCACCATGGCAGTAGCTTAGCCCAGTGCATCCCTGGTACAGTGGGTTAGCTATGAGCTACTCTACTCACAGCCCTGCACATCTAGGACCACTGATGAAGAACAAGAATTCTGGGGTCAATGTTCCTTGGCCCTCTCATCTTTGACCCAGGCCAGGAACCTCTGTTAGTCCAACCTTTAATCAGGAAAAATGAGGTCTATAAACACCTTAAAAAGCCCCCATGTCACAAAGACTATGTCCACTAAGTCAGGGACCACTTAAAGCCTTCTGCCTACTGATCGTGCAGCCAACCTGTCACTTCCCTTTGACCTCCTGCCTGAGTCTCTTAGGAAACCTGAAGACTTGAAACTCCCAGTCCACAAGTCCCTTCAAAGAGTCACCACAAGCAAAGATAGGTTTCCTAACATATAACCTTTATTTCTCATCTTTCTCTGATTTCAGTGAGGAATCTGGAGGATCATCTTGGGGTACAGGGTCTCGTGGGTAGTACTTATGGTCTTTGGGTTTCCCTGTTTGAGGTGTCATCTCCCAAGTTCAAAGCA